GGATCGCTGCCTGCGAGCTCCGGGGCGAGAGAGCCCCGTTCGTAAGTGCGGATCCGACATAAGTCGGATCTGCGTAAGTCGGGGACTGCCTGTACCAGATTTTTGTTTGAGTACTGCTTTACATCTAATTACTGAATGAGATGAGTAAACTATCACTTCCCATCAGTGATTATGGTGCATAATTTTTATCTGATTTTTTTTTTTAAATCTTTCTGATTAATGTAATGCGTTCTTTTTTGGCTCTGAAGAACACGTGTTGAAATGGTAAACATAGCCTTTAAATATTAAATATTACTGTTCTTGTTAATTAGAATATTTTATCTAAAATAGTATTTGGCTGCGTCTCTATAGAAAGCATCAACTTTGTTTTGTAATTGTGCTGATTTGTAGTAGTGCCTCTGTCTTTGGGGATATGTTTTGTGGGCACCCTACATAAAATATTTTTATAAATGTCATGGAATGTGCACTGAAAAAGCTTTCATTCTTGTAACTGTACAAATTGTTTTTACTATAATTTTCTCTTCCTTATTGGCTGATTTGCATTCTGTCCCTGCTCCCTTATTCCCAGAAGTGGATCTCTGTGAGTCAGCTGTTCATGGCTGATTCAGTTCTAGGAGGGAGTGGGACGGAGCATGAATTGGGGAATTCGTGTTCTCTGAAAGTGCTTAGAGAGGGAGCAGTTGAAAGTGCAGGACTCCAATGCCCCAGTGTGCGAGAGGCATGTGAAAGAGAGGGACAGTCATGCAGTTCACAGGCTGCAGGTGGTACCGCAGGTTGTCCACCATTGCATAAGCATTTGCCTACCACTGCCATTTAAAGGTTTCAGGCTTCTTGGCTCTCATCTCTCTCTTGCTCAGAGCTCTGTCTTTCTCTAGATCAAGGCCTTAGGTTTCCCCATCACTTATCAAGCAGTCTTCACTAAGTTAAAATTAGGGAGATTAGCTAGCATATAATTAAATAATCATGTAATGGCACACTATATTGTGCGGTTACACAACTATTTGATAGTCCCTGGAGGCGGGGCCAGCAGCCAGTGCGCTTCAGCCCACTCCCAGGGTGTTGCCACTCCATGCTGCTGACTCCTCTATCAGAGGGGTGTGGCACCCCAGAGCGAGTGCTGGGGAGAACTGGCTTTTTGACACTTTCCCAGGAAGGAAAGGACTCTTGATTTATTTATACTACCTATTATAGATCAGAGATCCAACTGATAAATAGAGGTACTGCCCCCCCCCCCCATGCTGCTTCTGATAGAGAGGCAAGGGGGTAGGGAAATGCATGCTGTAGGGATGTTAAATATCGGTTAATTGAATAGTTGATTAATCTCTTGAATTCTTAGTGGTTAGTTGACTATTCTATAGTCCCTGGGAGGGGCCAGTAGCCTGTGTGCTCCTAACACCACTCCCAAGGAGCCCCCTGCCACTCCACACTGCTGCCTCTGTATCAGTGGCAGCAGTTTGGGATGGCAGGTGGGAACTGATCCGCGAGGGGAGTCAGTTTAAAAACCAATTCCCTGCACAGACCAGCTGCCTACAGGGTGGGGTGACAGCAGCCCTATCTGGGGGGCAGGGCATGAGCCAGAACTGAGCCTGCCCACCTGGTTCCTAATGCCCTTTAAATGCAGAGCTGCAGCAGTGGTAGGTCCCGGACCTAATGCAAGCTGGGACTGAACTGGGCTGCTGACCAGCCCGCTAAAAAATGTACTGGGGGAGGGAGAGGGCACGGGAAGAAATGTGTGTAGTCTATAGCATTAACTGATAAGCTTTTACTTACTGGTTAATCGGCTAATCAACTACACAATTACATCCCTAGCATGTAGTCAGTAAGATTAATTGATAAGCCTAGGTTTATTGGTTAATCGTATAGTCTTGTACACGCTGACATCCCTAGTTAAAGTACACTTAATTTTAGGGTAAAAACATTACCTAGAAAACAATGAAAGTTCCTAAACACAAGCTAAAAGCTTAGCAGATGTCATGTCCCCTCTCTCCTCCACCTCTCCCACCCCCCACAAAGGGCTCTGGTAGATGTCAGTCTATCAGACCTCTCAGCTTAGTCTTCCTAGTGCAGGAGCCAGTTGATATCAGGTATCAGATCCAGAACCCTCTGGACAGTACTTCTGTTTATAGAATCATAGAACACTAGAACTGGAAGGGACCTTGAGAGGTCATCGAGTCCAGTTCCCTGTCCACATGGCAGGACCAAGCACTGTCTAGATCATCCCTGATAGATGTCCATCTGCTCTTAAATATCGCCAGGGATGAAGATTCCACAACCTCCGTAGGCAACTTGTCCCAGTATATAGAATCAGATCAGTTTGAGCTTTTGATATCTGATCTAGAACAGGTAATATAAATACATCAAGGGTCGTTTCCTTCCTTGGAAAATGTCAAAAAGCTATTTTTTGTATTGATTGCCCCTTAACTGGAACTCCTTCCACAGGTTTTTATGTTTTAAATGTAAAATAAAGATGTTGCATGTGTTTGCAATATCTGCAATAGCAACAAAAGTAGATTAAAAGTACTTTTAAACACAAGGGTAGATTTCTTTTTAAATTGATATCTTATAATATATTTTAGTAACGTGCTTTTGTGTGAGAGTCCATTTGTTCAAGAACGTTTCCTAAACAGTAAGAGCTAGGACCTCTAAATTTGGTATGCAGCTTCCTCTTACAACTTAAAGCAAGGTCAGGGTTTGGTTGTGCCAGGAAAATGGAATGTGCCTGGAGTTAGATTTTTGGATATAATGGAAAGGAACATTTTTGATAGGAGGGACAGTTATACTGCAGAATGACCACAGACTGGCAGCAAGTGGCCAGAGATGGGGATTGGGACAGCTATAACCCCATTGGGCAGGATGGAGAAAAGGACAGCTATCTACGATATATTTCAGAGACTTTGTATGTCTGTTCCCTAGCCAGGGGACATATACCCCTCCCCAGTTGTGGCTGCAATAACTGTGGACAAGCGCTTCTCACAAGGCCCCTAGGTGCTGTGTTGCTTTTTTCATTAATACAGGCTCCTAGGTGCTGTGTTGCTTTTTTCATTAATACAGGCCCCTAGGTGCTGTGTTGATTTTTTCATTAATACAGAAGAATGGAATTGTGCGAGTTTTTATTCTATCTTAAATTTGATTTATGGCTGTGAATGCATTGCACAGATTTTTTTTTAAATTGAATCATTGGAAAGTCCTCTCATTACCACATAGGACACCTCAAACATTGCATATGAAATTGTTCTTCAGTCTGGTTCTCAGTCTGTTAGGTGTTATTGTGAAGTTCGTAGAGAGAAGCACTTTTCTGAACGTCATGGTGGTGGGATTTTTCTTGGAGTGTTCTCCTTAGCCGTGCACCAGGTTCATCAATTCTGAAGCCAGACTGGACCATTGTGATAGTCTAATCGGACCTCTTTTAAGTACAGGCCATAGCATTTCCTCAAAATAAATCCTAGAATAGATCTTTTAGAAAAATATTCACCCAACATAAAAGTTGTCTGATGCAGAATCCACCACAATGCTTGGTAAATTGTGCCAGTAATTATTCTCTTGCCTAATTTCCATATTGAATTTGTCTTGCTCTTGTCTGTGATTTTTTTTTCTTTTTATTCTTCATCTATGAGACGTTATTGTCTGTGGATTTTCATGAATATGTTTAAAATGAATGTTTGTTATCCTGGTACAAACTTTGTCTAAATGTTTGCTGTGTTTTAAATAGTTTGCCTTTTTTACACTGACTCCCTCCTCCTCCTCCTCCAGGAAACCCAGCGCTTGCTGGCAGAACCAGTCCCTGGGATAAAAGCAGAGCCAGATGAGAGCAACGCACGTTATTTTCATGTGGTCATTGCAGGTCCACAGGATTCTCCCTTTGAGGGTGGGACATTTAAACTTGAACTATTCCTTCCAGAAGAATATCCAATGGCAGCTCCTAAAGTACGTTTCATGACCAAAATTTATCACCCTAATGTAGACAAGTTGGGAAGAATATGTTTAGATATTTTGAAAGGTAAGTTTTATCCTTTCCAATAAATACATTTCTTTTCATTCATCCTAAGTGGGGACAATAGATACCTGTAATCCTTTAAACATCTAAGTTATGGGTGGCTTTTTGTTTTGGCTTACTCAAAAGAATGCCTTAAATGGCTTTAATTTGAAAGGAAAGCACATTAAATCTGGGGGTGGTAATAAAGAGTATGGTGTTTCATGCTACTGTAAATCTGTTTCTTCAGATAAATGGTCCCCAGCTTTGCAGATCCGTACAGTTCTGCTATCAATCCAGGCTTTGCTAAGCGCTCCCAATCCAGACGATCCGCTAGCAAATGATGTAGCAGAGCAGTGGAAGACCAATGAAGCCCAAGCCATAGAAACAGGTAGTGTATCATGCAAGCTGCTCCTTATGTATTTGTGTGAAATTTTGATGAAAACTAAATTACTAATGCCTTTTTATTTTGGGACTGAATTTTGAAACATGACCCTCTGGTTTTGTGCCTACTTTTTATTTTGGGACTGAATTTTGAAACATGACCTCTGGTTTTGTGCCTGACTCACATGCATAATTGTTTGCTTGTGCATTTGACATCCAAGTACTTGATTGCAGGTGCAGAATCAGAGCCAGAGAGTTGTGGTTTGTCTTTTCTGAGGATCCACTTAGACTGCATGTTTTACACTGCTAAAGGTGCAAGAGTATTGGACTGAACTCATTACTTTATGTCCATTCCTGGTACATTGGAAGAGATTTTTTGAAAATAAATTGCAGTTTAGTTTCACAGAGCTCTGCACAGCATCTCTATCTCTACTTCTCTTTCAGGCTCTAATAGAATGTAGTTTTTGTGATGAGAGGATAAACAGGGTACATTATGCCTACTCATTATAGGATCCACTGCAGCCAGGACATCTGTTCCCATTGGCATCTGTTTCTATGGATCCTGTTGGCTTGGATTGTGACTAACATTCCACAGCTAACATGGTAGTATTTGTGAAACAGTAAAATAAAATTTAATTTAAAAAATTGAGATGCCTCTGCTTAATGGGATCTTCTAATCCAAAAGTTTGGGAAATGGAGTATATTGAAATGAATAAAATTAAATTTAATGCGCTTAAAGTATGCATCTTTTTTTCTTTGCAGCCAGAGCATGGACTAGGCTATATGCCATGAATAATATTTAAATTCACTCTGAACATCAAGTGTGCATCACTTCTCCTGTTCTGCCAAGACCTCTTCTTTTTTGTTTTGTTTTTTGTTTGCATTTAATGGACACAGTCTTAGAAACATTACAGAATAAAAACCCAGACATTTTCAGTCCTTTGGTGATTAAATGCACATTAGCAAATCTGTGTCTTGTCCTAATTCACTGTTGTAACGCATGAGCAGAGGCTAGAAGTATCATCAGGATTGTTGTGAAATTGTTTAAAAGCAGTAGCTCATCTGCTTTTAATCATTTTTTTTCCATCATGGTTTAAGTATAAGCACTGTGAATGAAGGTAGTCAGGGTTAGCTGAGGATTTTGTTTTAATTTTGTGAGCTCCTCTTCCTTTTTTTTATGGTGATGCTAATTGCATTGGCTAAAGCAGCTAACCAGTTACACTTTAGGATATGCCCTCTAGCCAAGTCTAACTTAGACAATGTAGATGGACAAGCTTGATTGTTTGAACAAAAATGGGAACATTAAACATCCATCACCTTCACTAATTACATTGTGATTCTGCTGTCAAGTGTAGAAACCGCCTTTCAAGGAAAAGCTTGTGACCATTTTGTATGGCTTGTCTGGAATATCTTCTGTAAATCTTTTATGTTTTAGTAAAATATTTTTTGTTATTCTACTTCGCTGTTGTACAGTTTATTTTGCTGTGGTTTTCATTTCTCTACTGTGACAATTGTATTTAAAAAATTGAAATCAGAACAGAAGAATGTTTTCTCCAGTCTGACAGGTTAAATAGTAAGAGTAAGAATTTGCAATTTCCCTTACTCTTGCTGCTGATTTGTATTACTAGCCCATATAGTAGGTAACAGCCCATGCCACTGAATATTCCTAAATTGGCCAATACAAAATTGATGGAGGCTAACAGCAAATGACAGCAGTAACTGGGTAAATGTACGACTTCAGTGTTTTGTGCTGAGTATCAGGTATTATAGGCATTCTCTTTAATTCTAACTCATGTCTCCAAAAAGGCATATAAAATACCAGTGTACAGTACAACTGCTTAACAAACTAGTCTGTCGATATTTGCTAAGCCACTTTCAAATAGCCCCATTTACCATTGATCTTTCTTACAAGCCTACTTAAGCTAACTTATCACTAGAAAGGTTTCTTCATTTGGAAGCAGTAAATAGCTTTTTGCTTCTTTGCTCTTACATTTATATATTTGTCTTTTGGAAGCCCATTTTAATCTCTTCAGTGCAACTTTGTATCCCTTTAAATGCTCTTTTACTAGTTGCTCTCCACCTCCCCACAAAACTCCAGTAATGTTTTCTGATCTCTAAGCTTTCTATGTGTCCAATTTAAACTGTATAAATGACAGCCTGCAAGTGGGAATGTATATCTATCTTGCAATTCACAGTGATGGTTATGTAGCCTGTTGGTATTTTCTGCCTCCCACACTCCTATTCTAGTGTCATCTGGAGTTTCTATAGAATGTGGTGTATTTATTGTGCTCTTATGTAAGATGAAGATTATCTATTAAAATTACATTTTCAACATACTAATGCTCAGTGACTGGTAACTGGTATTGTCCCTCAAAGTGCATTGCATAGTAACATATTAAAGCTTGGTTCAGAATAATCTAGTTCAGCACAAGATTAAGACACTTAAAGCCAGGTTTAAATCTAGATTTCCATATTGGATGTAGTTTGGCTCACATTTGTGATGTACAGCAGATTTTAGGCTTATTTAGGTTGAATAGGCCTCTTTGCTGTAACTAACAACCCCCTATGTGGTGTTCAGATGAACATTTGTGCAGATTAGTTTGTGAAGTTCTCTTGGTTGTTTGTTGAGTGACTATAGTTAATTAAGCATACATGTACTCTTAATTTTACTGTAACTAACTCTGCATTCATGTCTTCTGAATTCTAAAATGCATCTAAAGATACTCAACCCTTTAATACTACTGTTCCAATGTACCAATTGATGCCTTTATTAGCATACTTTGAATATGTAACTAAATGGAAAAAGTACTCCACCAGTCAAACCATGGTAAAGAAATGGTGTGCAGTACATTTCATTGTGTATATAGAGGAGCCAATGTATACCAGGTTTTTCAAGTATCTACTGGTTAGTGTTGAATAGCTTCGCTACTTCCTTTTTCTCTGTGCAGTTAGACAATGTAAATGTGTGGGTAAATAGCTGATGCATCTACAGATGTAAGATGTTTAGAAGGACTTGTCCTTAAATGCTTATTTAAAAAAAAACAATTTAGATGCTAAAAACTTTTTGTGGCATAACTTCAGTGCTAACCATGGCCATAAGAATCCGGAACTGTGGACTTAAACTCCAAAATAAATTCAAGTAAAGTAAGATCTATGAAAATATTACTTTATATTATGAGAGTCACTTAACATCTGAACCTTGTGCTTTTTTTAATGAAGTTTAAAATGAAACAGATATTTTCTGCCTTGTAGCAAGTTATGCTTGCAGATATGACTCCCTTGCTCATATTTGAGAGTGTGAAGTTCTTAGCTCATCTGTACAGTTGCCTGAATTATCTGAAACCAGAATAACAAAATTCTATTTTTCAAATAGTGATTGAAGATGCCCTGATATTTGTCTTATCTAATGCTCAAACATGACTTCTAGAATCATAATTTTCCACCACGTACAAGTATGGTTTGCCTTACCATGAGCACATTAGAATTTTTAATCTTTACTGAATTCTTCAGTATGAGTATTTCCTTTCATACTTTTCCTTTAGTACTATTGGTGCTAAGAGCTAACTGGCCTGAAAGCCTGAACAGGAGTCAAAGCTGTGTTTTTCCATATTAATTTATGGTTGTGTACGTAGAAGACAAAATTGTAAACCAGACCCTACATTTTAATTTTTTTCACAATAACTAACTTTAGGTCAAGGAAATACACTGGAAGGTTCTTTGTTCTTGCATTTAACATTCTGAAATCTGAACGGTCATTTTTAAACATTTAGCCATGATTTTACATGGAAATGAGGTGGTGTATCTATCCCTTAGAACAACAGACAGAATAAATGACTTGACTATTAGGTAACTTCTGTAGCCTAAAACAGTGAAGTGTTGCTTTTATAGCTTTCAAGAAAGCGTATCTCCAACACATGGTTACTTTAAACGTCTTAATGGAATAGTTCAATTGAAAGTTGTGAAATTTCCCTCAATTTATGTATGTTCCTACTTGGAATTATTTTGAGGGGTACTTTAAAATGAAAATGTCTGTTATAAACAACCTGTCATGACTGTAATGTAATGGACACTTTAAATAAAAGGACGAGTGGATTATTCATCACATATACATTGAGCATCATTTAAAAAGAAAGTGGTCCCTTTTGTCGTATGACCATGGTATTGTTCAGTTTCAGTGGTCTTTAAATAATGTCTGTGCAAAATTAGAAAATAAAGTTTGACAAATTTTTAAGTCCTCCATAACTCTTGTTTTCCATTCATTGCTGGTTTCTAATGGGGAGAAAAGTAAACTAGTCTGGCCACAGTCTCTCAGTCAAAGACGACTCAAGTTTCCTTTGGCCTTGAAAGGCTGTTTTCTGGTTTCTTGCAAAATATAGGAGTTTTAAAAGCCTGGATCTTTTACATGGAGACTAATGATTTTGGAGGTGTAATTAAATTATTCAGCTAACATTCCTAATTGCTTATTGTAAAAATGTTTACAACACTTCTGAAACACTAAGTTAATATCATATGAGTCTGCTACAGGTAAACATTTTGATAGCTTGAATCCAAGATTCTTATAATCACTTAAGCTATAACACTGAAATTTTCTTCTACTGTTGTATGCTTGTTTGATGCTGCATCATCTATAGGAAGTAATAACCTGGACTTACGTGGAATAATTGAGTACAAATGAAGTCTGCTTTACTTATTCCAAACATTGAATGAGCATGAACTATGCCTCCTGACTGAGGAGTAAAAAAGTCTTATTTTAGAACACAACTACTTTGGTAATATGCATTAGCAAAGCTTGTTTTGTTAGCAAGAAGTTGTCCTTTTTGATTAGCTATGTATCATACTACAGGAGGCAGTCAGACTGTCCCCCTCAACCTTTCTTTAAGCTTGTGAATTTCAAAAAAGCACTGTTTGCTAGCAAAACAGATGTGTACAACATGAAAACTAGTGGGGGAGGGGAGTAAAAATATGAAGTGAAGGACATCACTGGAAGATGATGAATCTCTAATTGTGAGTGTAGCACTGATATAGAATTGTTCCAGAACATGCATGTTAAGGCAACTTTCTTTACTCTGGGCAGAATACTGTCCGAGTCCTTCCTGAGGCTGTTATGGGGTGGCCAATCCATTAGAAATGAAGAGCCAAAATAATGGTGGATAGAATGCGAAGATCCATGTGGGGGGGAGGGAAGAGTTGAGGAGGGGGAAAAAACACATGCTTGAGGGAAAATAAGTGCTGGTACATGGTCCCAGGACATACCATCACAAAAAAAGCACTGGGAAGGGATGAGAGGTGCAGGAGGAAGCAGAGAACAGGATGCTGGCTCAGGGAGGAGACTCCAGGCTGGAGAGTGTTGGGGTGCTGAGCAAGCTGCAGGCTTATGGCTGGGAGGGGGCAGGAGTTTGGGCTGGGAGTATGATGGGTTCAGGACACAGATTTGCAGTGTGTGGATGGTGCAGGAGTGTTGTGGCAGAAGCCTGGGGGATGAGAGGCTCACAGGACGAGCTTCCAGTGTATGATGGGCTCAGGTTTGGAGTCTGGTGGGGGGAGAGGGGGTGCAGGAGTGTTATGATGCTGTGGCCAGATGGGGGGTTAGCCCCAATTGGGGCTTGTTGGCCAGACTTCATTTTTTAAATGTCAAATAAAATGTTTGTGTTGTCTTTATGAGCAGGGGTCACTGACCCATAGAAAAGTCAGTCGGGGCCACACAAGTGAGAGGCAAAAAACCAACTACTGCTCCAAAAAAAAAACAAGCCTTGCTAATGTGGCCCCAATTGTGCTGGTGGGGACAGAGTGCTGGGGCAGGTGCCAGGGTAGGGTACTTTTGGGAGGAAGGGACAGAGATAACGGGCCCAGTACCTGGGGATCCTGGGTCTTGGGAAGCTTGCTGGCTGCTCTTCCCCTCCCCCAGGTTCCCCCCCAACCCAATCTCCCCCTCCTTCCCTTCCCCAGAGCTGCTGCTACAGATTAGTTAAACCTTAGGTTTAACCGGTTAACTAATTAAACGGGATCCTGCTACAAGCCCCCCTTCACTCCCTGCTCTTAGAGCAGCCCTCTGCCTGTTGTGAGCTATTCCTGGGTACTCATTAACCAGTTATCTGTTCACATCCCTAATCTAAAGCAGACCAAACTCGCTCTCCCCCCACCCAATCCCCCTTCCCCTTCCCTAGAGCCAGACACCTCCCCTCCCAGCTCTAATCCAATCCCCCTCCCAACCTTATGCTTGGGTCCCAGACCTGCTGATATTGCCACCACAGCTACCACCAGTGCATTCCCCCCCATCCACTTCCCCTCCCCTTCTCCGGAGCCAGGCATCTCTATGCCCCACCTTCTGACCAGGTGCTGCTGCCTGCACTCAGTGGCCAGCTGCTAGCACATGCAGACTGAGATGCTGTGCGCAACCCAGCCTGCACATGCAGGATATGATGTGTGCTGGGGGCCATGAGCAGAATGGCACAGGCCACATGTGACTCTCAGCAGCTTGGCTGAGAGAGCATGAGCAGTTCCAGTTCTGCCAGGAGCCACATGTGGCTCACAAGCCCTGGGTTGGCCACCACTGCTGTAGCTAGTCCAGAACCATCCTGCTTGTTGCATTGGCTTTACTATAAAGCCCATTGGTGCCCAATGTATTATGCACTGTAGTAGCAGAAACAACCAGCTTATTGCTTAGCCAATTCTTCCCCTCCAGGTGATAAAACCTTTTTGCTAGTGTCCCATGCCTACATCAGTGCATTTTAGTACACATCTGTGCTATGAAGAAAATAAGCATTTGTCCTAATATTCCATCAAAGCAAAAGAACTACTGTGACTAACACCAAAAACCTCAGCTACTGTAGACATGAGCCTACCACCTCTGAAGGTAGGTCTGCCTTTCCCTTATGTATTCAGGAGCCTACACATTAGGGCTATGTCTACATTGGCCCCTTTTCCGGAAGGGGCATGCTAATTTTACAGGTCGTAATAGGGAAATCCGCAGGGGGATTTAAATATCTCCCGTGGCATTTAAATAAAGATGTCCGCCACTTTTTTCCGGCTTTTAGAAAAGCCGGAAAAGAGCATCTACACTGGCCCCGATCCTCAAAAAAAAAAAGCTCGTTTCCGGAGGATCTTATTCCTACTTTGAATAAGGAGGAATAAGATCCTCTGGAAAAGGGCTTTTTTTCCAGAGAATCACGTCTAGACTGGCCCTTTCCTCCGGCTTATCCCCAAGCCGGAAAAAAGCGGCAGGCATGTAAATGCCAAAGCGAGCCCCCAGTTGGGGCCCAGCCCTCATCTGGACACAGCATCACAACACTCCTGCAAACCCTCCCCCAACCGTGAGCCCATCATACACCTGAACCCCCTGCCTTGAGCCCCTAATATCGCCACATCCTCATAGTCCTGCACCTCCACATCCCCAGATCCATGCCATAACACTCCTGCCCCTCTACACACCCCAACCTTGTGCCCTGAGTCTGTCCATACACCCCAGTCTCCTGCCTTGAGCCTCTCGTACATCCCAACCAAGATTTCTGCACCCCCGCGTCACCAGCCCCCTGCCATAAGATTGACAGAAGACAGCCTGATTGCATGCATAAAGTTGGATTTAACCAGTTATGATGTAAATTTCAAAGAAATGTGTGAAAAGATTTAGCAGCAGAAGTCCCATTAAATAAAGGCTGTGAGTAAATGTTTCATTTATATTATTATTAATCTTTATCAGTTATCAATAATATTACATAGTATATTTTCAGCCCTGCAAATGGGCATTCTTATACAGCTCTCTGTTGACCACTTGTTGTGAATTTTTATGTAGTTTGGCTCTTTGGTTTGAAAAGGTTGCTGACAGTGTACAAAATTTTGTTGTTAGTTTGTTTTACTAAATACTGGTTCATGTGTCTTTCTAGGCGTTTACAGTCCCTAATTAAAAACATCACTCTGAGAAGAACAAAAACAAGCAAAATTAATGGAAAGCCTGTTTTGGAATTACCGGAACGTAAGGTATTCATTCAGTATGTTACACTTACAGAAGAAGAGAGAAAAATCTATCAGTCTGTGAAGAATGAAGGCAAAGCTGCTATTAGCAGGTAGATAGAAACTAAACTGTGCAGTTATTATTAGAGTTATCTGTTCTTTTTTTAGTCTGACTTCTGAAAACTACTGCTCCAGCTGTAATAGCAAAATGTAACTAAAGTAGGGTTGTAAAATCACAGTTAATCCAGTTAATTAGTTAAACCTTAGGTTTAACCGGTTAACTAATTAAACGGGATCCTGCTACAAGCCCCCCTTCACTCCCTGCTCTTAGAGCAGCCCTCTGCCTGTTGTGAGCTATTCCTGGGTACTCATTAACCAGTTATCTGTTCACATCCCTAATCTAAAGCAGACCAAACTCGCTCTCCCCCCACCCAATCCCCCTTCCCCTTCCCTAGAGCCAGACACCTCCCCTCCCAGCTCTAATCCAATCCCCCTCCCAACCTTATGCTTGGGTCTCAGAGCTGCTGATATTGCCACCACAGCTACCACCAGGTGCATCCCCCCCATCCAATTCCCCTCCCCTTCTCTGGAGCCAGGCATCTCTCTGCCCCACCTTCTGCCCAGGTGCTGCTGCCTGCACTCAGTGGCCAGCTGCTAGCACATGCAGACTGAGATGCTGTGCGCAACCCAGCCTGCACATGCAGGATATGATGTGTGCTGGGGGCCATGAGCAGAATGGCACAGGCCACATGTGACTCTCAGCAGCTTGGCTGAGAGAGCATGAGCAGTTCCAGTTCTGCCAGGAGCCACATGTGGCTCACAAGCCCTGGGTTGGCCACCACTGCTGTAGCTAGTCCAGAACCATCCTGCTTGTTGCATTGGCTTTACTATAAAGCCCATTGGTGCCCAATGTATTATGCACTGTAGTAGCAGAAACAACCAGCTTATTGCTTAGCCAATTCTTCCCCTCCAGGTGATAAAACCTTTTTGCTAGTGTCCCATGCCTACATCAGTGCATTTTAGTACACATCTGTGCTATGAAGAAAATAAGCATTTGTCCTAATATTCCATCAAAGCAAAAGAACTACTGTGACTAACACCAAAAACCTCAGCTACTGTAGACATGAGCCTACCACCTCTGAAGGTAGGTCTGCCTTTCCCTTATGTATTCAGGAGCCTACACATTAGGGCTATGTCTACATTGGCCCCTTTTCCGGAAGGGGCATGCTAATTTTACAGGTCGTAATAGGGAAATCCGCAGGGGGATTTAAATATCTCCCGTGGCATTTAAA